CATGACAAGATACAGGAGTACAGATTACACTTAAAATTTTACCTCTGAAGCACCAATCTGCCTTGATGCAATTGGTCTGTCACTGCTCCCCAAGGCACACTGGGAACTTATAATGGARCCACTGGGCATAAATAAATGCTTTAAGCAGTTTAGCTGCCAGTGTGGATCCTCACCTTTCTCCTTTTCCCTGCTCAGTTTCCTTTCTGCCTCCTGCCTGGTGCTGTAATGATTTGAAAGGGTTTGTATCTTATTTCCACGTGGCTGCCTTGGAGATCTTTTCGACCAACTTCCCTCTGGACTCTCTACAAACATTAAAAGATGTTTGAAATTACTCAACCTCAACAGTGCTTGAAATTGAGCCATGTTCTGTTGTGTCAACAAAGTGCTGCAAGTGCTGATTGTAGAGGCYGGAATAAAGGTTTCCAGCTCTGGTGCTGCTGCCCACAAAATTCCCTTATTAAGTGATGTTTCCCCACCTGGGAGCTCATATGTGCTTCTCTGGTTGCTTATTTGTCYATCTTCCTTTATTTTATTTGGATTCTGTAATCAGTGAGCAGGTTGAAACACTTCTGCTGCAAGASTTCCACCCTCCTGCCACAGGCAGGGACACCTTCCCCTGTCCCAGGGTGCTCCAAGCCCTGTCCAGCCTGGCCTTGGACATTTCCAGGGATCCAGGGGCAACCACAGCTTCTCTGGGCACCCTGTGCCAGGGCCTCCCCACCCTCACATCCTCTAATGACCCATCTAAATCTCCCCTCTTTCTCCCCCTTTGCCCCTATCAGCTACCAGCCTATGTAAAAAGTCGCTCTCTCGTTCCTTCGCTGCTGGTTTTCCTTTGTGTGCTTGGATCAACTCAGAAATGATTTGGGGAAGAATTAAGGGCTTTGTGGGTTATTGGAAATTTGAGATATTACTTGCAGTCTGAATAATTTCATGGTGCCCTACTTGGCACTGCTTTGTTTTATTGGAGCAGAATGTTTCAGAGGCAGAAGAGTATTTCRTCTTCTTCATGCTTGTGTTGCCCATGAAATACACGGAAAAGGAAGAGTGAAATGTAATTTCCCACCTGAGTTTTGGACTCAAGTGGTGTCTTCCMAGACCTCTGCTCTGGGGACAGGCTGGGAGAGCTGGGAATGTCCAGCCTGGAGGAAAAAAAGGCTCCAGGGAGAGCTCAGAGCCCCATCCAGAGCCATAAGGGGCTCCAGGAGAGCTGGAGAGGGACTGGGGACAAGGGATGGAGGGACAGGACACAGGAAATGGCTTCAAACTGCCAGAAGGCAGGGATGGATGGGATATTGGGAAGGAATTTTTGGCTGTGAGGGTGGGGAGGCCCTGGCACAGGGTGCCCTGGCACAGGGTGCCCATTGATGCAGAGAAGCTGTGCCTGTCCCATCCCTGTTGGACAGGACTTGGTGTCTGTTGAGTGGCATCTCTTCCCTCAGCAGRGTTTTGGAAATGATCTCGAAGTTCCCTTCCATCCCAAACCATTCTGTGTTCCTGGTGTCAAATTGGAAATCTTTATTTTGGGAACGCTGCGTTTCAGTGGGTTCAGCACTGTCCATGTGTCTTTTGTGTGCCAGGATTTCCTCTTTCCTGCAGCAGCTCTGATATTTTGCAATAAATACCTGCTCACAGCCCTCTGTTGTGGTGTCTGAGGCCATCCTTTGAGCAGAGGTGAGGATTGAGTTATTCAGTTCAGAGAGTGTGTCTGCACTCTGAGCGACGAGCTCTGCTGGTGCTGGATCAGACTCTGAAAAATCCTGTCTCTGCTGGTCCCACCTCACACTGAAAGCAGCACATTTCCCTCTGTGTCTCAGGTCAAAATAAGCAAAATATTTCAAGGACCTGTGATTTCACAGTCAAGCTCTGTGATAGCATCGGAGCTGCAGATTCCATAGGGGGTGGTTTTGTTTTGTTCCACTTGGGATATCCCAGRAGCAGCACTGTGAGTGCCAGACCTAACGAAGCCTGGTGTCCCCRGGTTCATGTCACACACTTGGCTGCTCTGGGGCCCAGGGGGGAATTACAGAGAATCCATGAAAGGTTTTTGTGCCATTTCCAGGGCTCTCTTCTGTGCAGATCCTTCAGTGCCCGTGGAGTGAGAGGTTCCCAGTGTTCTCTTCCCCAAGGATGAGCGTAGAGGAGGATCCACATCCCCATTCAGCATCAGGATGAACTTTTGTGGGCTCCAATGGATTTTAAGCCTTTTTGTTCTGTGGGAATTCAGGGCCTAGAAAAAGCTTGGGGGGACTTTATTGCAGAGGGAAGAGACACCCCAAAAACTCCAGTTTCTCCTAACACTTCATTGAAAGAGGGAGAGACTGGAAATCCCAGAGGATATGTGGATGTGGGAAGCTGAATGAAAGGGATGTCTAAGAAGGACTGAAAAAAGTGGGTTTCAAGTGAGAACGTGGGAAGGGATGCTGGCTTGGCTTTGTGAGGAGGTTGTAAATCTTGAGTATTTCAGTTCCCAGAAGATGTTTGAGGATAAAATAATAAAGGAGAAGAACAGCAGGGCAAATACCTGGTATCGCTGATTTCTGAGCATGTGCCCAGTGYCCCAGGAGAGATGATTCCTGCTGAAAGGGGGGAAGTCTGCAAAGGTTTGGGAATGGTAAAAAAAATCATTAAAATATTTGCTGAAGGACGGTAAGATTCTTCTAATAATTGCAGGGATTCAGGAGAAACTTCCAATGCAGCTTTGAAAAACCACCAGAAGTATTTAGGAGAGCAAGTCCCAGACCCCTGGAGGTTTGGGCATACAAAATGTTGTCTGTGCTCCAGACTCCACATGGGGATCCCTGCAGGGGTGTGTGTGCATTTTGAAAATTATACTCATTTTTGAGGTGTCTTTGATGTGAGTGTCACTGTCTAAGTGAGAGTGTCACGTGAGGATCATGGAATATCCTGAGTTAGAGGGATCCATCAGCATCATYGATCCAACTCCTGGCCCTGCACAGACACCCCAAAAATCCCACCCATTGTCCCAACACTCCTGGAGCTCTGGCAGCTTTGGGGCCATGCCCTTTCCCTGGGGAGCTGTTTCAGTGTCCCAGCACCCTCTGAGGRGACAAGGGAAGCTCAGTGGCACCCAYAGCTGTAATTTGGTGTTGTTCAGAGAGCTTTGAACGCTCCCAGCAGCTGAGTTCCCTCTCTCCCTGTGCCATCCCCGCTTGGAACGTGGCATTCATCTGAAGTATTCATTAAGATGGGGAATTATTTGCATATTATTAGCATTATTACATGGAAATAAAGCTGCTGCTGGTTCTTCCCTCCCTCCATGTATCTTTCATCACCCGCCTTTATAAGGCTCTGAATCCTGTTTGTTGTGTGACAAACTGGGCTGATAAATCTCGTTACTCACTTCAATGGCTGGGAGACTCACTGCACATTACTGAATTTGGTGAATTATGTAATAAATACATAATTAAAATTAAACCCAGAGCCTCTCGTGGAACCTCAGAAAACGGCACTTGTGATGAATTACAGAGAAATGTACGCGGGTATTAAAATTTAAGCCTAATTATTTGGATTTATTTCTGATCAATATTTAATATGCTACCTATAAGTTCCTGCAGACCCACAGCAAATCCGTTATTGTGGCATTGCTGGAAAGCACAGAAARTGTCTGTGTGTGTGTGTGAAGTGAGGTGTTTGTTTTCATGGGGCTTCATACCTTAATATTTGATTACAGAAAGGAAAACTCCCCTGAGCACAATGTGCTCAAAAATTTCTTCAGCCATGGGAGAAGTGTCTGCAAGGAGTCGGGTTATGTCCAAGTTTTTTCCTRCTTTCTCAGCTTTGARTATTTCTGTGGCTGCCCCATCCCTGGAAGTGCTCAGGGCCAGGTTGGATGGGGTTTGGAACACCTGGGATAATGGAAGRTGCTCCTGCCCATGGCAGAGAGTTGGAACAAAATKACCTTTAAGGTCCCTTCCAACCCAAACCATTCTGTGATTGTGGTTTATTGGTTGAAAATCACAATAATAAGAAATAATTTACTCAAAGAAAGCACTACTTGGTTGTTCACTCATYGAATTAGCCATAAAATAAACTGAAAATCTTTCCCCTGATGAATTTCTCCCCTCCTGGTTCTTTACTTCAAGGCACYACTGTCAGGTTTAAACTTGAGATGTGCTAAAAACTTCCCTTCTCTGTGCTTAAAACGGGTTTTAGAGATATTTTCCTTGGAAAGAGAAGCGATGTTTTTARAGCAAACAGCCTGCAAGTTTAATTTTGAAAGGTTTGTCTCTTAAGTAGGAAATTGAATAGAAGGGATTTGATTCCCTTAAATCCCCGATTCTAGAGAAAGCAGCTTGAGATCTCAGTAAGAGAATTAACACACGGGTTAAACTTACAATAAGAAGCAGGACTTGGAAAATGCCTATTCAGATGCCGTTAAGGAAATAATAGGATTAGTTCTTGTCGTGTCAGTGTGGATTCCTCAAACTGGGGGCTGTGCTGACACCAGCCAGGCTGTGTTGCTGGTCTGCCCGTGAAATTGGGGACAATGACAATAAAGATGACTTTTCTTGGAGGCAAATTCCTTTGAATGTTTAAGCCGGTGCTTGTGTACACACATGGGGCAGGTAATTCACAGTGACAAAGAAAGCCCTAATAATCCCCCTCCCTCCCCAGATCTGTTTTTTAYGGCTGAGGTAATGGTAATTGCAGCTGGGTAAGTGGTGAAAAAAAGTCAGGAATACACTATGGCAGCGTGTTTTAAGTTCCTGTAAGCAAAATTTTGTTCATTTTTATCATCTGTTGCAAACATAATGTGTTATTTTACCTCTTATTTTCATCCCTTTATTCCAATGTATATATATTTTAATGTATATACATTATACCCATTGTTTGAGAAATAGCATTTTTGTCTTTTGTTCATATTTTTTTATTTGATTTCACCATTCATGACAATTCAGAATCCTACCAAAAAAGCATTATTTTCAGTTTCTTGTGTTCTCCATTCCATAATCATCCATGTGTGTCTTTGTTTTTAGCTTAAACCAAAGAGAACGGAGCGTTAAGGCAGAATTTGGGTTATTTTGACATCACCTGATTCCATCATAGACGGAGCTGTAGGACACCAGCGCTCTGGAAAACTTCCAACAAAATGGTAATGACTCAAAAAAAGGCTTGTGTTCTGTCACTCTCCTGTTTTTGTCTTCACATACAACTTCTGCTGCTTTGCAAAGCTTCTCTTTCCTTTTCCATGGGTTTTCCTCGTGCAATTAGTGCTGAGTATCCCGTAATCCCCCCAAAATGCTGTGGGAGCAGAGAGGAGTTCAGGCAGCATTTTACCAAGTCCAAAATTGCATGAGAAGCTGGGGCTGTCCCTGGAAATGCTCAGGRCCAGGTTGGACTGGGCTTGGAGCAGCCAGGGATAGTGGAAGGTGTCCCTGCCCATGGCAGATGGGTTGGAATTGGGTGATTTTTAATGTCCCTTCCAACCCAAACCATTCCATGATTCTGTAATTTTTAATTCTGTAATTCCGTGGCTAAGAATGAAATAAAGTTTTATGTAGACAGATAATTGGCAAACCAATMTAATAACCAAAATACCAAATTTCTCAGTAAATTATCACCAGATAATTTAAAATATATACATAATAATATAACAATATCACCAGTGGAGGGAACAAGGTGGGCACTGCTCAGGCTGTTAATTCCCCTTTCTGTATCAGAGCATTCCCAAGCACTCCTCGAGCTGGAATTTAAGGAAGCAAAAAAAAAAGAAAAAAAAAAAGAAAAAACCAAACAGCTTTACAGCTTGGTCTGTGACAGAGAGTATTTGCTGTGTTTTGGCACAGGGTTTATTTAGGGGGTGTGTGTGAAGCTTGAAGAGAGCTCTCAGCACATTTTGCAGTGGCAGCCGCTGAYGCTGCCTCGAGTTGCAGCCAAAGCTGGGCTCGTTTCAGCTCCATGTGTGTTTTAGCTCAGTGTTACTCCATACTGGAGTSATCTTGTAAAGCTGAGTGATCTCACAGGTCTGGAAGACAGCAATCAATTATCTTCCTTTGCTTGCAATTCAAGATTTTGAGGAATTAATTTAGAAGAGCTGCAACAAATGCATATATGTGTATGCACATAATTGTATCAGGTTAYCATACCATATTTTTCTTATCCTTGGACTCTTCCTGCATGAAATCCTTCATTYTGCTCTCCTCTGAGCTGTTYCTTTCTTGCTCACTAACAGGAGTTSCTCTCCTCTAACAAAAAGYRCTTATCCATATTATGTCTTTTAAAATGTGTCCATTTAAATTAATATTTAACAGAACAGAGACATGTCTGTGGTATAATGTATCCACTTATGGCTAATTGTTATTTGAGGTGATCGAGCCTCTTCATTTTTGTGCTTTTTATCCAGCAGGATCTTTTGTAGATTGCAGAGTAAGAGTTGATTTACACCTCAAAGTAGCCTGTTTCTCCTGGAGTTCTGGGTTTTATCAGTTAGCAGCACCCTTGAGCAGTACAGAGGGTGCAGTGAGTGTGTAAGGATCGCACCCCAAAGCAGAAATCCCAATTCCAGTCCCAGGTTAAGGTGTAGTTGCCAGTCTATCAGCACCCACCAGTGAAGTTATTTTCTTCTATTGCTGGAATTTTTTATTCCAGCTGATTTCATTTATCTGTTCCTTCGCTGAAGGAGTGCTCAGGCACCAGAACGGGTTGCCCATGGTGGAATCACCATCCCTGCAGGGATTTAAAAGCCATGTGGATGTGGCACTTGGGGACATGRRGTACTGGTGGCCTTGACAGTTCCRGGAGGGCTSRATGRCCTGMAAGATTTTTCCAMCTTGAAYGATTTAGTGATTCCCAGGGAGGTGACCAGTCAGAGCTGCTGGTCTTGGCTCCCCCTCAGTCACTGACACTGCCATGTGTTCTGTGCTAGAAATCCTGACCTTTTGGCTCCAGCTTTGGCTGGATGCTCACCTCAAACAGTGAACTTCTGATAGGGTGAACTTCCCCACCTCACCAGGGATCCCTGAACATCCCTTTTTTATTTCACCATTTAAGCTTTAATTCATAGGTAACAGTTTAGTTAATATTTGAGCATTRCTATTTATTTAATTTCATTCTTTTTTTTTGTTTGTTTGTTTTTTAGGTCTAAAAGGTTTTTATGGGTGGTGAGATGCTCCAGTACTTGGATCAATCCATTTCAGTTAATATGGGAAGGAGTGGATTTTTTTTTGTGCTGTTACTTGGTTGGGTTATTTTATATTTCTGGAATTATACATCAGCAGAGCTGATCCACGTTTAGAATCAGATTTACGAAATCACAGAATGGTTTGGGTTGGAAGGGACCTTAAAACCCATCTGCCATGGGCAGGGACACCTTACACTATCGCAGGTTGCTCCAAGCCCCATCCAACCTGGCCTTGGACACTTCCAGGGATGAATGAGATGATTTTTAAGGTTCCTTCCAACCCAGTCCATCCTGTGCTTCCCTGATTTTATCAAAGCTCATCAGAAGTGACTCCAGTCTCAGGATTTTTTATKTGCACTGTTCTCCCTCAGCCACTGCTGCACCCTGTTACAGAGCAAGGCTTTAACTCCCAGCCTGCTGTGTCTCCCGAGTTCACACATCTCYGCAGAAGATTAAGCAAGTTAGAGAAATTAGCTTTGATCCCTTTCTGCCAGCATAGGATTATTCTGCATCGCACTGGGTTTGAAGTTCACGCCTAATCCAGTTTTACACGTCCCGGGGGACCGGGCTCCGTCTGCGCCACGGCCCCGAGCTGCAGCCTCTGATTTAGTGGCACTTCCYCGATGCTGAGATTCAATTTGCATTCCCATTACTGCATCCCATTTCATCCCATGCCATCCCATAACTCCGCTGCTTCGTGGGATCTGCCGTCCACATCGTTACCCTCCCTCCTCGTGCTGGTTTGGGTGCTTGCTACACGTGAGCAATGTGTGTTTAAACCACAGCCCTGGTGTACAGTTTTCAAGCTGTAGGAACAGATTTATGTGCAAAAAGCATTTGGAGTGCCCAGACTGGATCTTTGTGCACAGAAACAACTGGTGTGAAATGAGATCCCAAGAGCCACGGGTGCAAAACTGATGCTGATCACAGTCCTGTCCCTGTTATCCAGAGATTTAATGCTCAGTCCTGAGGGTTTTTTTTATTGCACTACATTTTATTTATGATATTTGTAACCCCATMAGTTTTCTTTCGAATAAATGTGTGTTTTCAGGCTTGAAAGGAATCCTTGTCTGTAATCCTTTGAAGTGCYTTTATACAGGTATTCAGCATCCTGAACATTTTTTCCTCACTCACACGCCGGCCATGGGGGTAACAGAGCAGCAGAGCATTCCAGCCAGGAGCTATTTGAAGTCCCCAAAGGATGCATTTAAAAGTGACAGCGTGTTTTGCTGGACTGACAAAGACTTGGTTCAGCACCTGCATCACTCCCAGAGACCTTTCAGGAAGTRCCTTCTGGTGCAGAAAGCACTAGATTGGTCAGAAATGTGGTTTATACAACTAAAAACGGGTTTAGAGGTAAAAGATACAATTCCAAGTTCTTGAGGGTGGCTGTATTTCAGTGGGAAGCCTGAGAGATCCTAGAATGGAATTCCCCTCTCTGTTCCAGCCCTGTGCCCACCTTTCGTACACACCTTGTAATAGCATTTCGTTTCTCTTAAAGAAAAATGCAGCATTCGTAGAAGGGAAAGAGTTTTTAAAACTCCTGTGGCCTGGATGGCAGAGGATATCCCTGGTTTTCCATGCTGAGTTCCTTGGATAGCCCCAGCTCCTGCTGTTTTCTTCACTGGCAGCAGCTCACTCAGAACCCAAATCCATCCCAGTGATATWTAATCACAGAATGGTTTGCATTGGAAGGGACCTTAAAATCATCTCATTCCACCCCTTGCCATGGACAAGGAACCATCCTCCTCCCCCAAAGCTGTCCTTGGCAGGAAAGCACCATTAATCCTGATGGGAACCAGCATTTTCAGGGATTTTACATCACCCCTGCAGCAAAGGTGTGTTCAGAATTGTCCTCCCCCATCCTAACAAGAGTTTGACCAGACCAGGAGCACCCTCTATTTTACAAAAAAAAAAAAAAAAAAAAAAAAGAAAAAAGATGTGTTTTTTAAGCAAATCAGCTCTGGAAGGTCGCAAGGCTGTCAGAGTGACTTATCTGCTCTTCTCTGGAAATGGCATTTCTGGAAGGCTGTGGCGGATGCTGCTCTGGCAGTCTGGGCTGAATCCTGCGGAAGGGCTTCAGGAGATCCATCAGATGCCCTACTTAATTTAAAATGTTTGGAGGGTTTTTTTAATTTTTTTTTTATTTTTGTTTTGTTCTTGTCACTGTAGTAAAATTATTTTTACGACCCTTCGGGTATTACCTGCTTTTATAATCTTTCTATAATTAAATTTACAAATCCGCCTGTGAGCTGGTGATGTGTAAAACCTTGCAAACGGGACCCTTTGTGTGTTAACCTATATTTATGTTACTTTTATTCCTTCTGGCAGTAATTATCCTGGCTCTAGGCCTAGGATTAATCTATAAGATGCTGAACATGCTTGAATTTTTTTTCCCCCCCTTCTCTGTGGCAAACTCATCTTATGCAGAGCAGGGCATTTTTAAAACTGCTTCCTATGAAGTGGTTTCGCTGTTACCCCTCTTAAGTGATTCACAGGAGGAGCCATGGCAGAGGTTAATTGATCCTGGGCCGTGGATATGGGAGGGAGGAATGATTCAGCCTCTGTCAGGAGGTGCTGGGCTCTTTCCGAGCTTGGTGACGCAGCTTTCCCTGCCTGGCCAAGGGACTGTCACCATCACTGCTCTGCAGGACTTGGGGCATCAGGCTGGGACAGGGCTGCTTTTAAAAGCAGGGCAGGGGCTCCAGCGCTGGTCTGATAGGGTTGGAACATCCATGCCATGGACAGCAGGCAGCTGRACATGAGCCAGGTGTGCCCCCATGGCCAAAAAGGCTATCCCAGGAAAAGAGTGGCCAGCAAGGCCAGGGCAGTGCCCGTCCCCTGTCCTGGCACTGCTGGGGCACCTCCAGTGCTGGGGACAGCTCTGGGACCCTCCTGACAAGAGAGACCTGGAGGGGCTGGAGCGAGTCCAGGGAAGGGAACGGAGCTGGGGAAGGGGCTGGAGCACCAGGAGGGGCTGAGGGAGCTGGGAAAGGGGCTCAGCCTGGAGAAAAGAGGGATCAGGGGGGACCTTGTGGCTCTGCACAACTCCCTGACAGGAGGGGGCAGCTGAGGGGGTTCGGGCTCTGCTCCCAGGGAACAGGGACAGGAAGAGAGGGAACAGCCTCAATTTGCACCAAGGGAGGTTTAGATTGGATATTAAAGGAATAATTTCTTCAGAGAAAGGGTTGTCCAGCCCTGGCACAGCTGYCCAGGGCAATATTGGAGTCCCCAATCCTGCAGGGATTTATAAGCCCTRTGGAATGTGGCACTTGGGGACATGGGGCAGTGGTGGCCTTGGCAGTGCTAGGGAATGGTTGAACTCGATGATTTTCCATGATCCTGTTACTTTGCCATGGTTTTAGAACTGTTGGGCTCAAGGCCAAGTGCTGCAAGATCCTTAAAGAAATCCTGGAGGGTTTGCACTCACCTTAAAACACCTCAGTGGAGCATTGATTCATCCTCTTACCATGCTGGAATTCAGGGACATCAAAGAGAGGCACTAATATTTTCTGGAGACAAGAGGAGGTGTTGTGTMAAACACAGGCACAGCTCTGGGCATGGACAATCCACAAATTCCAGACAGCWGGGGAAGAAAGTTCTGGTTTTCCCATCCCTAAAAACATTCAGGATCAGGTTGGGTGGGGCTCTGAGCAGCCTYATCTTGTTGAAGATGTCACTGCTCACTGCAGGGACTTGGAAAGCTTTTAAAAGCCCTTTTAAAAGCTTAAATATTCCCTGCCACATGTCCTGTCCACCTCTTCCTGTGCTGGCAGGTTCTGACCAGACCTTTTCCATCCCTTTCTCCATCCCATCCTTCCTCCCACTGTGGGTACACAAGCAAGGAGGTTAGGAGAGACTCGGTGCTGTTTCAGGGCTGTTGGTGGAGCATCATTTGGGATTTTCCTTGTGGCTGAGCTGTCCTTGGGGACTGTCCCCTTGGACACAGGAACGTGTCCCAACATTGATGGCCACAACAAGTTCCTAACTGGAACTTTCATCCTTCCTGGATTCCCAGATCGATGCAGCCCCGAGCTCTGCTGCTGTGTCAGGAGCGGTGCCGTGGGCTGGAACAAACTTTGCCCACCGGGAATTTTTTCCTTAGAAAACCTTTCTGGAGTCATTGATTTGCAGCGTGTCTGAGCCAAATTTAAGCATGGAGCCACAGAGATCTGAATTTAGCTGCGCTGGCTGTTTTCCCTGGGAGGAGGGATCACAGGGATGGATTTGATTGCCTCGGAAAATTAGTGTTGATTTCAGTGAAGAATATTTTATTACAGTGTTTGCATTGGCATTGTCTTCATAGGATAATGGCTGAGAGTTTCCTGTGTTTCCTGTGCTTGTGTGTATTTAATGATTTAATCTATTCCTTGTGAACACTGGCTTGGACTAAAAAAGAAAAAAAGAAAAGGGCTGGCTGCCTGCTCTTAATATCCCATCATAAAATAAAATCACTAATCCCAAAGGTGGAGTTGCAATTAAAAAGAAAGAAAACCAGTGTTGAAAAGTATTGAAACTGAATAATATGGTCTAAAATAGACACTGCCTGTGGTGTTTGCTGCACATAATGAAGATGCTGAGGTTCTAGTGCCTTGAAAAGTTGGGATGCTGTTATAGGATCTGGGAATGGTTTGTAGGGGGCAGGGACCTTAAAGCTGCTCTCATTATGGGCAGGGACACCTTCCTCTATCCCAGATTGCTCCAAGCTGCCTGGGGAGCCTGTTCAGTGCCCAAACACCCTCTGGGGAAGAACCTTTCCCTGATATCCAACCTAACCCTGCCCTGACACAGCTCCTGCCATCCCTGGCTCCTGTCCCTGGTCACACAGAGCGGAGATGGAGCTGCCCCTGCATTGCCCCTCACTGGAAGTGGAGGACTCTGTGTGGAGAATCCTTTCCCTCTTCTGTTTTATAAATACAAAATGACAAGTTGACCAACATATTGGCCTTTAAATCTTGTTTTTTTTCCCTGTGTGGGATCTCAGAACTCCTCCTCAAACTCCCTCCAATCTCCTCAGGCTCYGTCTCCACACYGGGAATCCTACCCTGAGGATCCAAACATTTGCTGCACATGTTTGTGAGAGCAGCTCAGTCCACCTCAACGCTTTAACTGCCTGGAGGTTTTCCCTKGTTTCCCTTGCCAGGTATCACTCCGGGCCACGGAAAGTTTTGGATCAAGAGGAATTAACTTCAGACAGTAATGAAAGAGGCTGTGCTCATAAATGCAGCGCTGGACCTCTTAAACCAGGCTGTGTCTGGCKCTGGGGGACGAGTGCAATCTAATAAAGGTATTACAAGCACTCGAGTTTGGGCAATTAAAATGATAACGATATGCTGGAGCTAACGAGGCTGAGGTGATGCTTTATAGGGGGCAGGGAGTGCATTCAGGGCTGCCCTGGCACAGAGAAACTGTGACTGCTCCAGCCCTGGAAGTGTCCAAAGCCAGGCTGGACAGGGCTTGGAGCACCCTGGGATAGTGGAAGGTGTCTCTGTCCACAGCAGGGGCTGGAATGGGATGAGCTTTAAGGTCCCTTCCCACCCAAACCATTCTGGGTTTCTGTTTGCAAGACTGCCGGTCAAGTGTGTTCTCCCTGCTGAGGGAACAGAARCAGGAGCTGAGAGGAGCAGGGGGTTAAGCATCACTTAAAGGTTATTGCACATTTTGTCTGAGACCTGAGCCTCGATTCAGAGACCCACAGAATGGTCWGGKTGGGAAGAGACCYTAAAGATCATCCAGTCCCACCCCTCTGYRTGGGCWGGGACACCTTCCACTATCCCAGCTTGCTGCAGGGAGGAATCTTTCATTTTCAGCAGYGTATTCCCAGATCAGGAGTGGCGGCCAGGCTGTGTCTCCCCTTTTCAAGARGAGCTGAGCAGGAGCAGAGCAGTCCCCGTGACCCAGCACCATCACTCACTGCCTTCAGAGCTCTCCGTGGGCAGCACAAGGGCTCCTTTATGGCATTGTGTTTACCAAAGCTGCCTGGAGGAGGTTATTTAAACTGCAGCGGTTTGAACCACGCTCTTGACATAATTTTCCTCCATCTGTAGCTTAAATATCAGCCTCTTCTCTGAACTGAATGACTCTCATGGTTACTCAGATGCTTTCAAGGTGCAGTCATTCCCTTTGTGACATTTGGAGCTGCCCAGGCTGATTGCTACAGAAATCCAGTGTGTTCCAGGCTCTGTGTGAGAATCACAGCATTTGCAGGAGCGCATGGAGACACTGGGGTCAGGTTGAATCTTCTGTATGAAATTATTTAAATTACATCTTGGAAATCATTTCTTCCCTGTGAGGGTGGGGAGGCCCTGGCACAGGGTGCCCAGAGAAGCTGTGGCTGCCCCTGGATCCCTGGAAGTGTCCAAGGCCAGGCTGGACAGGGTTTGGAGCAACCTGGGATAGTGGAAGGTGTCCCTGCCCATGATAGGGGGTGGATTTAGGTGATCTTTAATGTCCCTTCCAACCCAAACCATTCTGTGATTCTTTGAGAAGCAAGTTGCTTTGCAAACTCCAAATGTGATGATTAAATGAATTTTTTTTTTGTTAATATGAGTTTTGAAACCTTTTGCTGTGAGAACAGTCCCACTGTGTGGTTCTGTGTCCACAAAAAAAATGTGCTTTTTCTTTTCCAAAGAAAAAACCCAAACCTGGGTAGAAATTCCCAGCAGCTTTCAAAGCGTCTTGCAGCTCTATTTCTTTGTTTGTGGGCAGGAAGATTTCTGTCCACTCAGAAGGGTCAGGCTTCTCTCCCTAAAATCCCTCTGGGCTTTGACAGAGCTTCCAGACCCCTTCTGATGGTGTGTGGAGTTATCTGAGCCACAGGAAGCCACCAACGCTGTGATCCAGCTTGAGAAAGAAGCTCCATGGTTCTTCCTTA